AAATGATACAAGTGATGATAATATGGAAATATATTGCTATGTATATTTTATTGTGAATGTACCAACATTGACACTGTACACACACACACATTATATATTTCAGATGCAAAAGAGGTTCTTGATGTTGAAAAATCAAGTACAATGATCATGACTGAAATGAACATACAAAAGAATATATGCCATAATAAGAATACATGGGGTAGCTCGTGCTTTAGTATTCTTCATAAACTGTCACTTGCTCAGTCTGAACAATTAGAAACTGTGAAGGTGGGAGGACTTTACAGAAAGCTAGTGTACAATAAGCAAATGTATCCATAAAAAGTGATTTACAGAGGTTACATTTACTCATATTTTGTCTCTATAAGTGACAAAGTTCCTATGAAAGTAGTTAATCCAACCCATATCTCTCGAAACACATTGAATGACCGGCAATGAGGGGGTTATATATTAAGCAACTTCATCTGACTGATATAAATTGCAAAAAACCCACTCTCTGCCTCTCTTGCATTGTACTTTATAAAACATTTGCCCAAATCCCAAATATTACACTTTTATTATTCAATAATATTAGTAATTTTTGAAATCCATGACAATAAAGGTACAATACTGTGTACCTTTTTAATGCTTACCCTATCAGTACACTTGTCAATAAATGGATCACCATATGGATAATTCACCAGCTCAAAGGGTTTTTTCATGTCTAATGGTGTACGTATACAATTGATATCTTATTGCAGACCCTTGAAACTGATGAATTATTCAAGATTCACCACAGGCACTTATTTCCAAAAATGTTAATTGCAGTAGATGCAACATGAATGCCAATATGTTGCTTCCTGAGTCTAGTGCGTATGTTTGATTTTATGGAAGATATTCTGGATTTACACTTAAAAATGCAAACCAAAGAGGCATACCTTTAGTTCCTATAACTCTGATGATTGAACAAATTTAATGTATAATACATGTACAAATTCAGACCTGTATACCCCCATTCTACATAGAAAATGTTTGTCAGCTCTAAAAGTTGATTTAATATCCAAAATAAGTAAATTATCAAAGAAAATAATTACATACACCTGGGGAAACCTAGACTTCATGCTGGTAATGTAAGAAAGAACATTTTTTCCATATTAAGGACTTTTGAATGCAAAAAAAAGAGTAAACTATCCTATCAGTACATCTGCACTTTGAACAGTCTAGTAGGTATCACTTCACTCATATTTGCAAGATCAGGAACCACCAATCAATGGTTCATATTCTTTCCAACTTTATACCTAGTGCACTTCAGTATCATATGTTGTAAAGGTCTTGGATTTCTAGTTGAACTAAGAAATGTCTTCTTTCTTAAGTTAAAAATTAACTAAATGCTGGGTTACCATACATATGATTTTATGAACTTGCTTTGGTTATCACTGACCAATAATTGCATAAAGAGTTATCTTATAGGAAACAATTGAGTAAAAAATGATTTATAGCACCATCTTCCACTATACCATGTGCAGAATTTTGACTGATATAAATGAGCATGATTAAATGGTAAATGGTGTAACAACTTTCAGACAAAACAGTGATTCTGAGGAAATTAAGTGAATCTAAAAGAAGACAATGCAATATTTCTTGTTGCTAGCAGTTTAGGTGCTGATGGGGAAAGCTTTATGACATTTATGCCACTATATTCACAATGGTAAAAGGTATCTCTTGCTCCTGACACCACTCTGCCATTGGTACTTTTTAAAAATCATTCCTCTAACATTTATGCTTGATATCACAATTTAAAAAATTACCAAATATTTTGCCCATATTCTCACAGAATACAAAGCTATCTTTTTAAAGCTCAAACTCAAGACTTATCTAGGCCCTCTTTAGCATAGTGATAAATCTGATCTCCCTACACACAACAAATGTGGCTTTAAATTTCTGAAATAATATTATTTGATGTAAGAATTTAAAGTGATACATTCAATCAGGAGGTGGTGTAGTGCAGTCATAGAGTGATGGTGTTGCAATTGCAAGGTCCCAGGTTCATAGCTGTACTGTATTGTTACTTATATTCACATCATTCTTACAAACAATATCTGATTACAATTGGAATGATATGAAAACAGTGAAAAAGTTGGCTGTGATTAGGCCATCTGATGAAGCCAACTGACATTGAATTTACTGTAAACTCTTGTAAATCTGTTGCTAATATCAGTACCAAGCTGTTACAGTGCTACAACCAAACAATATTACCACAGAAGTAGACTACAGATATTTCTGTAAAGACTGATAGCTTATGGATCTGGGCTACTATACTGGCAAATAGAAACCACAAAACACTGTAAACCATCCTCATACATTATTACAAGTTCTGGAAAGTGCTGTCAGTGAAAAACAAAAGGTCAGTGGCAAGAAATGCCTTACCAATGCCTTCATGGTTTTTTTTTCATTGATGCATATATATATTTACACACAATCTGGTTGTCTCACAGAGACAAAAAAATCCAGTAGCAAGTGGATCAATAACCATTCACTTGTCTCCTGTATTACATGGCTGGGAAGAGGATTACCTATGTGCATTGTACCAAGATCTGATAATTGCAGCCTATAGGCAGGACCTGTTCTATTGTTGCACCTGATGAAAAGCATTTAAATATTTTGTTGCTTTCATCTGGGACAAAGTATTTTGACCGATGAATATCTGTAAAAGTAAGTTATTTTTACTTCACCTTATGAAGAATGCTGTCATCAGCCTTACTGTTTTGAGTTTGGATTTTTGGTGCATAAAAATGATTAGTGTATAAAATTTACAGCCTTTCGGTATGTTTGTGAACTATGCTTAATATAATTACACATAATTATGTTAGAATGTATGGTTGATGTGGATGTAAGTGGATGTTTTCAAGTGTAAAAGGATATGCAAGTGTGCTGTATGAATGTGTGTCTGCAATACTAAATTTGAAATAAGCAATTTGAAACTGCAGTAAATATATCAGTAATATTCTTACTTAGCTAATCTCTACCTTCCTAACATATTTTTGGACTTTAAGCAAGTAACCAATATGTTATATTTTATCAGTAGTATTACTGTGGTAAGGAGATATAATTGCTAATAGATGTTCTGATCAAAATGTTTAGATGTTAGACGATTCTGTGATATAATATAATAAATGTGCTAAGATTTTAATCCCCTTGCACACTTAAACACACATTCAAATAACACAATGACTACAACCAACAGCCATTTCACATGAGTATCTGTAAAATGGCTGTAGAAGAGTTGCATTCACTCATCAGAATGAAACATGGCTTGGGTCATACACAGCAAACAAACATTCTAATGGGATCAGTTGTCAGTAAATGCTTTCAATATAAATGTATATATATATATATATATATATATATATATATATATATATATATATATATATATATATATATATATATATATATATATCTTTTTTTATAAGTCTGCAACAATCCTTCAACACCCAACCTAACATAAAAGCTTATTCTTTAAGTTTTCCTCGCCTAGCTTAAAGTTGCTGTTTTTTTTCACTTTGGTGTCAATATCAAATATTTCTATTTGAAAAAATATGTTCAAAATAACAGCTATGCATGAGTACACTAGCCACTGGCTATTTATATTTGAATTACAGGAAAAAAACCCTCGAAGACATATAGTGTGCAAGGGGATGAAGCATGTGAAAACAGAGAAAAGAGAAAAAAAAACAGCAGAGAGAGAGAGAGAGGGAGAGAACCATAAAAGTTAATAATGAAAAAATCTTCATGTGTACAAGCAAAGTACAATGCTACCTTTGAGCACCATACAAATGTAAGCATATTAGCAATCAGTTAAAAGTTCATGATATTCTATATCACTGACATGGCTATCATATATGGATTTTCAGAAAATAAAGAATAAGAATATGAGCATGACTAGGAACATAAACAAGGAAAGTTGTCAGAATTGATAAATTTTACCATATCATCAAAACATCAAAATAACACTGATTTATCATAGACAAAGAAAAATGGCAAGGTTCATTAATAAAAAGTTTAGCGTAAAATAAAGTAAAATCCCCCGGCGACTTATGAACAACTGTCTCAAAAATGAAAGAAAGAAGAAGAAGGAAAAACGAGGAAGCAGCAGAAGAGCTTGTGTACAGGCTACATGTCTTCATTTTCTGCACTGTTAATTAGCTTGGCTGAACACATCAATCAAGCTGTGATTTACTTCTGACATATTATTTCAATATATCAAATAACTGAAGCTTATTTCCAGCTTGAAATATTCTAGATAAGATGAAAGCATTCAATTCTTAGGATTTCATCATGAGTGAGAAAGTAACTCTTCTATTGTTATCATTCTTTTGAACAAAAGGACTAAGGTTTAACTTTTTTCATTACAGTAATTGTTTGTAAAAAATCAAAATGTATTTATATATCTGCAGACACATAAAGACACACACACTCAAATACATGCTTACATATACATGGTCACATACATGCGTATATGACTTACTGTATGAATAAAAGCAAAATACTCTAAAAAAGCAACTGTAAATTGGCCAAAAGCAGTTTTACACATATTCCATCAATTTTCAGCATCATACATGTAGCAATTGTCTTTTCATATAATCTTTATTCAAAAAATGAAATACAGTATTAAAAAGTTAAAATGTAGCTGTGTGCCAATAATCAGCATGTGTAAGAACCAGGTTTATATTGCACTAAATGAAGTTGCATAAATATCCCAAATGTGAGCGATTTTGAGTGACAGTTAAAGTAATACTGTTTATGCAGTCAGAGGAAATGCTTAAAAAGAAATATTTTGCAAATCACTCCTTAAACTGCAACAGGCATTGATATATAGAAAGGGAAACACAATATTACATTGGATTACTTCAAATAGTAACAAATACTTTGTGCTTGTTATAGTTTATATTGCTATGGTGGGTTAAATCATACTGTCACCCATATTTTATAATATAGTAATTGGTCTTGTGAGTAAACATCAAGTGTTCTGTTTCACAATACATGTGTTGATTAATATTATTTGTATTATGATTGTCCAAAGACTGGAAGGTATTGTTTAATAATTATAAAAAAATACAAGCACCATAAAACAAGCTAAAATACTGAACAGCTTTGCTTAAGCATACATATTTTAATTAAAATGCCTGATATTTAATATCACTGCATGTACAAAATAAACTTGCAAAAACAACACAAAACAGGCACTTCTTAGTGCATGGAGAGAAAACAAAGATATATTTCACTGAATCAGTCTAAGCTACCATAAGATTTGCCACAAGCCTCCACTTACATATTTTCACAATTCCATTTATTTGAGAATAAACAGATTTTTGCATGTTTTAGTACCCTTGAAAGTAAGTGTGATGCAAAGGGTATGAAGGAAGTGATTGCTGAAAAAAAGAGTCAAACATTTATAGGAAATGACTTTGTCCAACTACTCCATTTAAAAGGAGTATTTTCTTTTTCAAACAGCTGCAATATTAGTCATGCCCTTCATTGAACAACTGGTCAGTAATGATGATCTCAAAGCAAGTCATTTTGACCTTTTGAGAAAATGGTGGATTCTGAGACCTAATATAATATTTCTTACCATACATATAAAAACTTTTGAGCAATACTAACCCACAGAGCAAAATGTTGGACCCTATACTGTGCCCATCAGTGTACATCATAAGGACTGCTGAAACCTTGGTAACATTTTGAAAGCTCAGATTTAAAGGGGAACAGAAACAATAAAAGTATCTGTACGTAAACTCCTTGTAAACATCAGTTTTGTTTGCTGTATATCTACTAGATGAACCAATTTCAATGCTAATGCCTACTAAACTGAATAAATATCCAGTCCCACTCAAACAACTTGCAATATCTCTTCAGCAGTTACAGCTAAGTCAGCAAAAGCAGCATCACTTCAGAGTAACAAGATACAGATCTTAGAATTGCATGTGAGTTTTTCCATAGCATTCTTGCGGACTTCTAACACATAGCTTACTTGATAATAGCAACAAAACTGCAAGCTGATAAATATTACAGCTTGGTTGATAATCTATGAACTTGGCCTATATTTGCATGGTTATCAATTAGGTAACACTGATAATAAAAATGCAACCTAGCAAAACTACAGGCTTGAACTGCACTGGCTCCTTTTGAAATTCTCCATACCCTATGTTTTATGCTAATAATCATATTCTATTTAAGCTGGTAAAAAATCACGATATCTACATGTTTTTTTGCCTATTGTCATCACATATATCAAATATATAAAAAAAAGGATCATATTAGTGACTAATTTCATTTTCAGTAATTTTAATAAAATGATTTGATTTGCTTATAATATGCAATAATAGTTGTTCAGTAACACAGACCACAGTGTAGATTTGTGGAAATGTGCTTGTATTTCTGTTCCCCTTCAAAAAAAAAGAAAAAAAAAAGAAGAAAAAAAAAAAATACATGACACAGTGTCTTGTTTTATGGAAAGTCATAACCAACTGTCAAAGTGATGGAAGAATTTATATTTAGATCTCAATCTTTATAATATCACAAATCTCTTCAACATATCAAATTTGTATTATAAATCATACTACAAAAAAAGAGAATGCATCTGCATAAATTCACATATCAAATTAATGAAACATGATTTTCCTGCAACTATATTTTGCTGTCAAAAATCACAGGATTCTTCTAGTCTGTGATAAAATATTGTTTATAAAAACATCCTATACTTAATAAATTATGTCAATTCTTAATAACCCAAATTTTCAGTCAACCGACATCAATATGATGTTACTTATAAAATAACACTTATGAAAAGAAGGTTAAAACATGATGAATACCAAAACTCACAATAAGAAACACTAGACTTTATATATCTAAAAATGCCATCAAAATCTAGTTGTTCTAGTCTTTTAAAGAATGAAAGCTGATACATCTAAAGAGGAGAGTTTTATAAATAGCAAATTAAGAGGTGGATACATAGAGACAAAAACAAAAAAAATAAGGCAAAAACAAATTAAGAACCAATAATATCATTATTTGCCTTCTCAGTCCTGTGTCCGGTCTGGGGAATAAGAGCATTTGCAAACCCTATCACAGTTCACACTTCACAGAAATAGTCAGAATACTTAGGAGAATTGCATCTGCTCATCAGTATGGCATTAGTGTATTAACAAGTGTAAACTTCTTCACAACAACTTCCTTTGGACACTTGTACACTGGTAGACACTGGTGGAATATCAGATTCATTATGTAACTGTTTCTCATGTGGGTGATGCCCACCAGCATCTAGAGCTCGACCATATGCTGGTAGTGGTCAACATTTTCCAGTTGTGGTGCAAACAGTTTGAAAGCGTTTAGAAGCGGAGATCCCAATTCATGGGGTTCATACTGGAGTCTCCTGATCTGTCTCCTCAATGCGTCCGAGTCTCCACGGAGGAGTGTCATTAACTGCAAGTGGGAGAAGTGTTAAAAGCAAATAATATTTCTGTCAATCAAGAACAAAATGAAAAAAATAAAGCTTGTTCAAGAAAAAAGTAGTTTTTCTTCTTCATGGAAACTTACCTGCCAAAGATTTGGATAATCATTTATAATTCTTTTCCTTTGTACAATCAAATGAAGCATTTATACTTTTCTTCAAATTGTGTGCCAAGTCTTAAAATATCTAGGCACAAAGAATACTGAACATTTGGGCAAATGCCTTATATGATGCCTCTTCCTGCTCTGTCCTTCCCTAAAGAGGCACTTAAGTTTCTAATTTTGCATATGGTGAATCTGGAATATGATTTTATGGAACACTGAAAATCTACTTCATGACTCATATTCCAATTCTTCACAGGCAAAAAAAGAACAACTAATTAACTCGTTTAGGAATAGAATAATTGTGAAATGAATCTTTTGTGAAAAATATCCATACTAATATTAACTCATGTTTACTACATCTGAAAAAATCTGTGAATTTCATTCTACATAATCAAGATTAAAAAGGTGATCTATTTATTCATTTATAAGCTGCCATCTTCAAAAACTAAATAAAAAAAAAATCAGTAAAATTATTGCTGGACCAACAATGCTTACCAGCCAGTGCAGCAGCTTAAAGCAATAAGCTGCTTATAGCTGATTTTATTATCTTGCACACTGACAGGTTTGGACTCAGGGAACCACCAGCATATAGCCATGATGTCACCAGGTGTGTTACTGGACCCAGGGGGCTAAGGGGACCATCCCATGGCCAAGGAGGGATTTTGAGTAATGAGGAGCAAAACTGGAATAAGGGTGTATGCCGAAACCAAACAAATGCCCATTTATGAATTTCATTATAAGCTCTTTATATTTTCTTACGAGTGAAAGTTTATTTCAGTTTGACAATATACACACATGTACATATAAATATGTGTACATGTATATCCAGATGGGCAAGTATGTGTATATAAACACATTTCTTTGTATGTACATATAAATAGATCTTCATGAAAAACTGCATTAGAAAAATAAAAGAATGTAGTTTTTATGTTAATTAAGTAAAAAATTGCAAAAAGCAGTTACTGAAAAAAATATATATATATTTTTCATTTTGTTTTAATAATATTTTTTAATCCTGTATACTGAAAACCTCAAAAAGGTCCAAGTGAATTAAAAATTTAATTGTATTGTTGGTATGTCCACTGCAGATATTTTAATGTGTGCAACAAGAACAATAAAAATAATTTGTACGGAGGAATGAAAAAAAAAAAGTTAAATAACCTAAAAAGTTCACATAGATATCTTAGTGTTAAGCTCAATGGAAAAAAAAAAACATTAATATAAAGAGCAAATTGACTTATTCAGTACACAAGCAACATATGTGGCAAAGTTATTTATTTGTGAACACTGTCCACACTTTGTTACCCCCAAGAATTTGGTCTAAATATGCACAGTATTAATACACACAAAATATCTAAAAATAAAGATCTATAAGCCTGATTTTTCTATAGAAAATAAGGATATGAAGAGAGTGTGAGAATAAAAAACAAAATCAGTAGGGATTCTTATATATCCAATGGGATGTTCCCCAGACACCATAATTAATAAAATTAAATATATATATATCATTTTGGGATTTCATTGCTGACATGCAGTGAAATATAAGTACAGATGGCTTTCTGATATCTGAATAAATAGAACAAAAAATATGACAAAGATATCAAATCATGTTTCAGTATGAAAACACAAAAAGAGTACACCTTGCCTTTAATACGATTTTCTGTCTTAAGTACATATAACATGACTAAAGCAAGAAGTTTTCAAGGACTAAACAAGACTACTTCTGGACACTGTAATTTCCAATCTACACAAATCTATTCCATAGTTTATTGCAACACACTGAAAATAGAGTTTGGGAGATTATTCTGAACTTTAGGAAATTGAAATATCTTAATAATACTGTAATGATACAAATCCAGTCATTAAAAAAATCTAATAATCTATATTTCCCTCTGTGTTTCTAAGCAAAAAGTCACTGATGAGGCTGAAATAAATATTTCTTTACAGTATACAAAATGCAATGCTTTTTGAATAAAGTGACTTTCAAATAAAACATATAACATTGCAATATGAAATATCTAAAAAAATATTCATAAAAAAAAAAATATATAAAACTTATTAAACCCAAGTAAACCTACAAGTGTTAATCCAGTAAACACACTGGTTAAGAAGACATCAAGAAGACCATCAACTACTTGTCTACACTACAGCATGAACAGGCAGTTAACTAGAACAATTACTGGTAGTCTATTTAGTTGATAAAAGACTTTACCTGCACATTGTATACATGTGCAGTGCAGGTGACATGACAATGGTATTAATACATACCACATTTCCACTGTACTTGAAGTCATATGTAAAACTTATCACTTACCTGCCTCAGAAAGTGACTGTAATGTTGTATTCTTAAGCATAAAATTATTATTTTTTTGTGGAGGTCCCAATGTCCCAAAATTACATACTCTGTTAC